GACATCCGCAGTTATATTTTTTATATTTATATCTTTTAAAAACAAAGACGTCATCCGGATGCGCCGGCTACCGTTCATTCATCCTGTCCGCTGAACTGCTGCTAGTTTTCCTCACATGCCTGGAAGATGTCTAGTGCTGCTACCACAGATGATCTCGCTCTCCAAATGGAAATGAACGATTCAGATCAGCTAGAATGAATAGAAGGGGTAGAGCGTAGCGATACTGCTACATCACCATCACTTTATTGTTTGGCCTGTGCAGCTTAATTCTGTGACACTTCTGCTAAAATATTAATAAAAAAAAAACATTTGAAGTTTTTGTCAAGTGTATTTTTCCCATACATTTACTACACCTAAATAATGAAATTAATTCTAGCTAAGAAAAACAGACTAGTTTTAAGCCTTTAAATGAACTGGTATAAAGTACATTTGCCTTGTTTTTAAGCCTGTTGTTTGCTTGTTTTGAGCAATAATTGGTTAGAGGACATTTGATTCTAAGCTATAATGACTAATAAATGAGAATACATTGCTTAAAATAAGAGAAAAAATCTTAACAAGTTAAAGAAAAAATAGATTTTTCTACTTGATTTAAGTTTTTTTGGATGCTTACTACTCGGATATTATGTTCTTGTTTTAAGAAATCTTACCAAGTCTCATTTGCTCACTGCACTGGAAGATTATTTTGCTCAAAATAAGCAATTATTCCCTTAAAACACCATATTTGTTTTTCATATTTTTTAGAAGGCATTTTTTGTTGTGTATGGAGCATTGCAGACTAACAAACAAGCCAAACGACCCCCATTCCAAAGGGGGGGACCCGTTCATCCGTTTTAATTTTGAATTGAAAAAGCTTCCTGGATGGGAAGCGAAATGTTTTCAAACTTGGAAACAAAGTCCAGTGGATTGTTTCTTAACTTTTTTTGGAATGACAGGACCGAAAATCATGTAGTCATGCTACTTTATACTGTTATCAATGTAGAGGCCAATTATCCGATCAGTCATATGTTTGGGCAGTGAAAGATGCACTGAAACATGCACAGCCAGTGTGAACAATTATCCACTAACATGCATAAAGGACCCTGACCTAATTGCTCTAAGGCACCGGATCTACAAACTGTACCACCCTGCAACTCCAAAAGCTGTTTCCTGATCATTTCTTGGTATGTAAGTTTTGTTCCAACTTTCATTTAAAACAACCAACTTCATGAGTGACTTTAAAGTTGATTATTTCCACATGCAGTAATCCTACACATTTTTTTTGTTGTTCTTGGACATAAAAATTGTTGACAATAAAGAAAAGGTTTTGTGCTCTCATTAATAAAACATTTCTTAGGATCCATACTAAAGGTGTAGCACACCAAACACCTGAAAATGGAATACCGTAAATCCTCTAATATAGGCCCG